AGGTTTTTGAGCAAAAGAGTGACATTTGATTTACTTTTTAAAATGATGTCTGACTGTGAATAGAGAATAAATCATAGACAGGGGAGCAAGGTTGGAAGCAGTGAGGGAAAAATAGGAGGTAATTGTAGTACTAGAGGCAAGAAAGTGTTGGTGGCTTAGAGCCAGTGATAACAGTGGAGATCATGAGAAATAGTCATATTGTGGATTTATTTTGAAGGTAGAACTGTGTGGTAGTTAAGGTTGTGTGTCAGCTTCCCTGGGCCAGGTTTTGAATGGCTGGGCAGCTGGATGTGGTTTTTCCCCATGATGAGACTGGGAATCAACTCCGTGATGGAATCTACTGTGGGCATCTGAGTAGCTGCCTTAGGAATGTGGTGTGCTCCCAGTATATAAGAATACAGCTTTGAGAAAGGTCTCTGAGCTTTTTGGCATGGTTGGACCCTGCACGTAGCCGAGTCTTCATATAGCAGCCTGCCATGTTTCCTGCTGATCTTTGGACTATCTCTGGACTTGAACTAGTGGCCTGCCATGTAGTTTGGTAATCTTGGAACTGTGCCATTTTATTTGTGGACCTTGGCTTTGTCAGCCTCAGCACCAGCAGATGCCTGAGTTAAGAGAAACCTCTAGCTTCCATGGGTTGGGGGCAAAGGACAGAGCTGAAGCCCAGTCCCTAGAGCTGGCACTTTGAATTCAGACTTCTAGCCTCCTGAACTATAAGACAATAAATCCCTGTTTATTCAAAACTATCCACTTGTGGTATTTTCTTTTAGAATGGCATTAGAAAACCAAAACAAATTGCATACTGCTAATGGATTGAGGAAGTCAGGAAGGAATAACTCGAAGATTGGCCCAAGAGCTGGAACAATGGAGAAGTCATTTAGTGAGGAGACAGCTGCAGGGGTAACTGATGGAATGGAAAGATGAGAGAAAAATTGGTTCAGATTTGGCCTGGTTACATTTCAGATGCCTATTACACATCCCAGGAACTCTGGTAGCATAGTGCCTAAGGCACTTGATTGCTAACCAGAAGAGTGGTGGTTCAAACCCACCAGCCATTCCTTGGAAAGAAGGTTGGGCAATCTACTTTCCTAGTGATACTGCCTCAGAAACCCAAGGAGGGGTCGCTATGAGTTGGGGCTGACTCTACGGCACTTAACAACAACAACATTAGACATCCTGGGAGTTCTGGTGGTGTAGTGCCTAAGGCATTTGACTGCTAATCAGAAGGCTGGTGGTTCAAATTCAGCAGCCACTCCTCAGAAGGAAGATTGGGCAATCTACTTCCACAGTGATACCACCTCGGAAACCCAAGGAGGGGTCACTATAAGTCAAATTCGACTTGATGGCAGTTAGTTCGTTTGTTTGTTTTAATTAGAAATCCCTGATGTCTATTAAAGGAACTCTGGTGGCACAGTGCCCAAGGCATTTGACTGCTATCCAGAAGGTTCGTGGTTCAAACTCACAAGCTACTCTGTGGAAGGAAGATGGGGCAATCTACTTTCGTAAAGATTTACTATCTTGGAAACCCAGTAGGGGTGGCTGAGTCAGAATTGACTGGATGGCAGTGAGTTCGTTTTGTTGTCTGTTAAGAGCCCTGATAAGGAGCCCTGGTGGCATGATGGTTAACTGCTCAATTACTAACTGAAAGGTCTACAATTTGAATACACCAGCCTCTCCATGGGTGAAAAGACTTGGTAACCTACACCCTTAAAGATTATAGTCTAGGAAACCCTATGGAGCAGTTCTACTCTATCACATGGGGTCACTGAGCATCCAAAGGAAATATAAAGTAGGTAGTTGAAATATTTGATGAGCATTACTGTCTCTTCAACACCTCTCTTATTTTTTCATAATACTTACCACTTTTTATAATTCACGTTATTTAGCTTTAGTGTTTTAGTGTCTCCTCTCAGGAAGAATGTAAGGTTACTCTGCTAGTAAACCAAACTATTATTTCTTGCACACAAAGCTTTGCTCATGGTGTTTCTGCTGTTTGTAATGCCCTCCATCTTTTTTACCCTCTACTTACTTCTTTCTTTCTCTGCCTAAAGCCTGCTCATCTTTTTGATTGCTACTTAATCTGAGAGCTTTTTTTAACAACCTAAGCTAAATTAAATGGCCCTCCCCTAGTCTGTCTCTGAATTCTGAATATATTCCTGTCATAGCACTTAATTCTTCGTATGATTACATGTATGTTAGCACCATTAAATCAAGTTCCTCATGTATGTAGAAAAATGGCTGAAGAAATAGGTATAGCCTAGAAATTATAAACATCTGAATAAGGCCAGTGAAAATAGGAATGGAAAGACAATGACAGAAATAAGAAATATTTAGCAGGTAAAAGCAGCAACACTTTATCATTGGCTGAATACGAGGGATAAGAAAGGAATCAAGGATAATCCATATTAGATTATTCATATAATATATCCATATATTATGTTAGTATATGAATATATTGTCATATAATAATTCATTTAGATTATTATGTGGAGTATGATGTTTCAAAGTGAGATAGAGACTATGAAAGGAGTCCAGTTTTAGGATGATGAGTCCAGTTTTAAGTATATTGGGTTTAACTTCATAGGAACATCAAGATGAGGATATGTATAGGAGTTGGGTACATGAATTTTAAATCCAGGGAAAAGGAGCTCTGTGGTGTAGAGGTTAAGGCATTTGGGTGCTGTGTTAGACTGGGTTCTCTAGAGAAACAAAAATCAGCAAAGCTTATGTATATATATATAGAGAGAAAGAAATTTATCTTAGGAAAATGGCTCACAAACGTATAGAAGCCGGCAAGTCCAAAGTCCCTGGAGGAAACGTCGGGCTGGAGGCAGCCTTAGCTTCCGCAACCTCAGGGGGCTGAGAAACTCAAGGCTGGCAGGCAGTACACTGGCTGTTGACTCCAACAAAAGACGAATCCAACATCTCCAGGCCGAGCAGTGGGCTGCTCACTCACGGAAGGTTGTAGGCAGCACACCAGAGTCCCGATCCACAGAAGAATGTCTCTCTTCCCAGGATGTCCCTGGATATCCTGGAAGCAGGCCACACCCCTAGGGAAACTCCCCTTGGGCAGATTAGCCACTCAGAACACAGTCATCTGATCCCATCATGGAATCACCCACACAGAACTGGGGTCCAGCCAAGTTGACACACAGCTCCAACTATCACAGGTGCTGACCAAAAGGTTGGTGGTTCAAATCCCCACCAGCAGCTTGCTCATCGGAAGAAAGATGAGACAGTCTGCTTCCATAAAAATTTACAGCCTTGGAAACCCAGTGGGGGTTGCTGTGAGTCAGAATTAACTCAATGGCAGTGAATTTGGTTTGGGTTTCAGCATACTAGATAATGGTTTAAAAGAGAGTGAAACTGAAAATAACTAAATAACTACTAAGGACAGAATTCTTGTTAATACCCACGTTTAAATAATGAGAAGAGCAAGGTAAGCTCTTATGTGGGAAACACAGGAGAAAAAAAGAAAAAGGTCAAAGGACACCAGGAGAGTGTGATGCTGTAGAAATCAAAGATATTTTAAGCTTCATGAAGAATACGGTAAACGATGTTAAATTCAGCAGAGAAGTTCAATCAAGATAGCTGTGTAACTTACTACTCTTCTCACAACCTGACCTAACCCCCTTCTTTCAGTGCTACTTCTTCAACCACCTTACCTCCAATTTTATTGAGAAATCTGAAGTCATTAAGTATAACTCCCTTATATAGTCACTGCCTTCAAGTCAGATCAGACCCAAAACAACCCCTCCTTGGGTTTACAAGGCACTATCACTACAGAAGTAGATTGCCCAGTCTTCCTTCTGAGGAGTGGCTGGTGGGTTTGAACCACCAGCCTTCTGGTTAGCAGCAAATCCCTTAGGCAGTACGCCACCAGAGCTCCTAAAACTCCCTTATATGTGCCCCTTTCTTCCTTTACAAATTTACCTACACTCCCATCCATCCTTCCCTACATCACTCTAACATCAGGAGCTTCAGAGCCATTGACACTAAAAGTTGTCTATACCTCTATATTTTTTCCCTTTTTATGCCTTTCTGCTCCCAATAGTCGACTAAAATTGTTCTCAATAAGATTAATATTTAAAATTTTAGTGGAGGGGTAAAAGTGGAAGCCATTATTAGGGGTTGAATATTGAATACAAATTAGGGAAATGTCAACAGAAATTGCAGATTGTGGTAATTGAGAGAGGAAGATGGTGTCTAGGCCTCCTCCCCAGGTAAGCAAGGAAACGTAAGCACTGGATTCAGCCACTGTTTCAGGATTTTTTTTTTTCATTTTGGATTTATATTACATTACATCTCCTACCTATCTGTTGGATCTGACTCATTTTTGCTTTAAAAGTAAAGGTTTAATCACTGGCACACTACAGAAGGAGACACAGAGAGAGATACATGCTTCCTTGTTTACCTGAGGAGGAGGCCTAGACACCATCTTCCTCTCTCAATTACCACAGTGTGCAATTTCTGTTGACATTTCCCTAATTCATACTCAATATTCAATTCCTAATAATTTGGCTTCCACTTCTGCCCCTGCGCTAAAATTTTAAATGTTAACCTTATCAAGAACAATTTTAGTGGACTGCTGGGGGAGAAGGAGCTCTGGTGGCGTAGTGCCTAAGGCACTTGACTGCTAACCAGAAGGCTGGCGGTTCAAACCCACCAGCCACTTCTCAGAAAGAAGATGGGGCAATCTACTTCCGTAGAGATACCACCTCAGAAACCCAAAGAGGGTCGCTATGAGTCGGATCCAACTCGATGGCAGTGAGTTTCCAGCAACAAAGAGGGTAGAAACCCGAGCTTGTTTGTGTGCTTGCTCTTTCTCATTCATTCATATGAAAAATATTTCTTGAATGTGTGCTATGTTCTGTGCTCAGGGTTAGGTGTTGGGAATATAATGGACAGTATAAACACATAAATAGTATAGTGATTTTTTTATTTGCTTGTTTATATTTAACCTAACTTATTTAACTAATTTTACTTTTTTTCCCCTTTAGTATCCTCTTATATATGGACTGATTCTTATTCCCTGCTGGTGTTCTCTGGTTTCCCTAAGTAGAATTTACATGGGAATGCACTCCATTCTGGTAAGGAAAACATTGTATTCATATAGTGCTTTATTTTTTCTGACATTGGTGCATGATTTTACAATTTTTAGTCATTTGCAAACCTGTATGAAATTTAAATGAAAAAATGTAGCTGTTGTAAATCTTTTACCTTTGTTTTACAAAAACATCAACATGATATTTAATGTAGTAATCATGCATTTCTTAGAAATAGTTATCAGCAATCACAATAACCAAATTAGGATAGCATTTCTTCCTCCTAGTCACAGTTTTATTTTATTTTGTAATCCCCCTAATGCCCCTCATGCCATTGAGCCAAAGGCAACAATATGAGTACAGAAACAAGGAAATCTCTAAGTAGTAGGAAAGAAGGCCCAGTGACTGGAAACTAGGTGAACTTATACTGTCCTGGTGCTGTCCATATTTGCATATTGAACTCTTGTTTTCTTTCCCCACAGTATTTTAGGACTTCATCAGATATTTTATTTTGAAACTGCTATTCAGTTTCCAAGCAGTAGCACGGAGATCCTGCACTGTTTGCAGCCATACCCCTTCCTCTGTATCCCTTAGATATTGCCTGAGTTCTGGCCTTATCTCTTGACTAGATTACTGCAGTAACTTCCCGAAATTATAGCCCTGCTTCCAGTTTGACATCCTTCACCCAGTATCCTGTCTCCTGTTGAAGGGAACTTTCTAAAATACAAGTATGATGCCATAGTAACTTATGACTTATGCTTCTTCAAATGCAAAGGGTGTTTTTTACTTCATTGCCTTTAGGAAGGCTGCACCCTCTGCTTGGAATGCCCTGTTCTCTTTCTTTGTCTAGCTAAATATCCTATTCATCCTTCATGACTCATTACAAATGCTATAAAAGCCTCTTTACAGTCTCTGTTTTCCTTTCCAAAGACTGGCTAAGTGACCCTTCTTCCCGAGCATCTTGAGTATAATTCTGGCATAATGTTGTTGTTGTTGTTGTTGTTATGTGCAGTCAAGTCGGACCCAACTCACAGCAACCCCTCCTTGGGTTTCCGAGGCAGTATCACTATGGAAGTAGATTGCCCGACCTTCCTTCCAAGGAGTGGCTAGTGGGTTTGAACCACCAGCCCTCTGGTTAGCAGTCATGTGCCTTAGGCATTACTCTACCAGTTGTTGTTGTTGTTGTTAAGTGCCGTCGAGTCGGCCCCGACTCATAGCGACCCCTCCTTGGGTTTCCGAGGCAGTATCACTACGGAAGTAGGATTGCCCAACCTTCCTTCCGAGGAGCTCCTGGTAATTTCTTTCTTTCTTATCTGTCACTCTCTCTAGACTATAGGTTCCAGTAACTGTGTGTACTTTCTCTCTCCCCAGCATCTAACGTGATCTCTTCCAAGGCACTCTATAAAGGTATTATGTATTATCTTTGAAAATAAAGGATGAGGGAAAAAAAAAAACATAAGAGAAAATATGAAGTAATCACAGCATCTTAAAATTTGTAATGGATTACAGCTAATTTTTTTGTCTTTAACCAATGAGTTGATTCTGACTCATAGTGACCCTATAGCAAAGAGTAGAACTGCCCCAAAAGGTTTCCAAGTCTGTAAATCTTTACAGAAACACTGTGTCATCTTTCTCCCATGGAGCAATGGCAGGTTCAAACTCCTGACCTTTTGGATACCAGCCTAATGTGTTAGCCACTGCACCACCAGAGCTCCTTTTTTGTCTATAATAACTGTAAATTATTTTGAAATTTATTCTACCCATAAAAATATCTCATTTAGCTTGTTTCATAGCTGTAGAAATATTAATAGTTTCTATTTCTTACATTTTCACGTTGAGAAGTTCCTTTACTCGTAAATTTCCAGAAGCCCCAAATACCATTTTAATAAACAAATCATATGTGTTTGACTTTATGTAATACTGATATTCAGTATAAATTGCCAGTTTACATACAGTTAATTCTCTTTCTGACTAATCTTTACTCATTTTATAATCAGATTAAGTATCACATTTTATATCAAATCTAGTATTTGCCACAAGAGAATGTTAATCATTGTTGGAGTTATTCCTGCCCACCCCAAAAAGTTAGCAATATCTGTCCTGAAAAACTACAAAAAGGTCATGCGTTGTTGAGTGATAAAAAAAATGAATTCCTGGTATTTCTTGGAGGAAAAGATAGGTAATATTATCCCTAGGTTCATTATCATACATAGAGGACCAAGAATCTGATTATATTGAATGTATAATCTCAAATATAACCAAACCAAACTCACTGCCATCGAGTCAAATTCAACTCATAGCGACGCCTCCTCGGGTTTCTGAAGTAATATCACTAGGGAAGTAGATTGCCCAACCTTCCTTCTGAGGAGTGGCTGGTGGGTTTGAGCCTTCTGGTTAGCAGTCAGATGCCTTAGGCACTACGCCACCCAAGCTCCATCTCAAGTATAGTATTCCTTTTAAAAAAATTAAATGTTAGTGGATTTGTCAAATATCTAGGCTGAGTTCAATTCATTTTTTATATATCAGATAATATCTATTCTTGAATTCAACTGAAGTAAAAACAATATTGATATATTATTTTTCAAATCATGAGTCTGATAACCCTAGTTTTTTAAGTATCCAGAAACCATCTTGTCCCACAGAATGTCTCATCAGCATTACTCAGATTAATGTTGAATTTTATCATATGTAGCATTATAAGTTTTTGCTTTTCTATAAAAAGTAAAATTAGGGACAACTTGCAAGCATTGAAAATTACCATTCTGTGCTATAACCACAACTGTTTTAAGCCAATAATATATTGCTTCTTATCAATTTTAAAACTAGTTATTTCAAATTAAAACCATAACAAATCCATTTTTTTACATTATGGATCTGTTACATTTCTATCACTTATGTCTTTTCCTGTATTTTAATGTTTAAGTAAATACTTGCATTTTGAACTATTTTTAAAAACATAACTTGTATCTTAGGTTTAGTGTAAAATCAGCATGGAACCATGGGCAGAGCATTCCACAGAAGGCGCTTGTCGGTGGTTAGAAAACGTATTATCTAAGCTGATGTCTTCATTAACACTAAGAGGAGGGTTCTCATATTCTGTTCTAAATCACTGTAGTGAACACCTTGTTCAGTATTTGCCTCATGCTTAACTGTTGTTGTTATAACACAAAAGCAACAGGGTAGATCATTGGCAACATCCCTCTACATTTCTACTAAGGCTTGGATCGAGAAATCATTTAAAATATTTTAAAAACTTGAGGAGTCTAAACAAATGTATAACTCATTTTATCTAAACAAATGGATGACTATTATAGTGAAGATGTTATTTTTACTTGAATTTACCTGTAAATTAAGTACATACAATTCCAATCAAAATCAAAACAAGGTTTTTTGAGGGACCTGACAAGCTAATTGTAAAATTCTTTTCAAAGAGCTGTGGCCCAAGAAAAGCCCAGAAACTTATGAACAATAAAGTGAGTGACTTGCTAGTAGTTCAGTGTGTTAAGTCTTATTATAAAGCAACAGAAATTAGACTGTGGCACTGCAACAGGATTAAGCAAATTAATCAGTAAAACAGAAAAAAGAGCCTAGAAATAAAACCATGCATATATATTAACTTGGTGTATCTTAGAGATAGCATTGTACATCGCTTTGGGGTTGGGCTAATTTGTTGGCCATATACAAAACTATATAATTTCCATTTCTACATCATACCAAAGCCAAAAATCAATATTGACTATAATTGAAGTGTTAAATATAAAGGCAAAACTGGAAAAAAAAAATTTGAATAATGTGCCTTTATGATCTTGGGGTGGGAAAAGCTTTCCTACACAAGAATAATAATAAATGTGAGTATATTTAAATTTAAAACTTCTGTTTATCAAAAGATGCCATAAAGAAAATGAAAAGGCAAGCCACAAACTCTGAAAGATATTTGCAATATATGTGATGGATAAAGGATTTATATGTAGAATATATAAAGAAATCTTTTAAACCAGTAAGAAAAAGAAAATCCAAAAGGACAATTGCCCAAAAGACACAAATGTACATTGCATAGAAAAAGAATAGCCCCTAGGCGTATGCTCTGGGGAAATACTTACAGATCTATACCATGGAACATCACAAAAAAGAAAATAGCATTGTTTATAATACTCCTGGTTGGCTTAAGACCAGCTGCCAGTTAAGAAAGCATTCAAACTCAACCGTAACCAATTACACCAAAACCTGGAAACAAACTCAGTGGCCATCAGGGGTGAAATGGATAAATAAAATGTATAACCACAGCAAAATATTACATAGCTGTCAAAGTGAATTGACCTGAAACTACATATAATAACATGAATGAATATTAAAAACTTAATATTAAATGTAAAAAGCACATCAAAGGAGACAGCATACTACATGATAACATTTTTATGAAGCTCTTATAAAGCAGAATTAAATAATACTTTGGGGATATGTGGTGAAACAATTTTTTAAAATATAGGTGGTTATTAAGCCAAAATTCAGATTAGTCATTTTCTCTGGGGAGGATGCAGAGTGATGGAGTTGGGAGATGGCACACCAGTAGATTCAACAGTACTAGTAATATTATAATTCTTCTTGGGAACAATGATTTCATGGATATTAATTATATATCTTTCATATATGTTTCTATTTATAACATATTACATAACAAAAAGTCTTAAGACAAAAATGATTGTGCAACTGTTATTGAATGCTGTTGAGAAATAACCATTGTTTTGGGCCTATGAAGACCATTGCTGTCCATGAGAAGACTAGTGAGCTTAGAGGAAAAATTAGGAGGTGTAAAAGTGGAGGCAGTGAATATAAGCAACTCTTTTGATAAATTTTTTAGTGATGGACAGTAGATCCCAGGGTTTGGTTTGGTTTTGTGTTCAGGTAGAAATTCTGAAAGATTTTTATATGTTCTCAGGAATGTTTCAAAAGGAAAACTTCATTTAATGTCTTGATTTCTTGCAGTAAACCATCTCTCCTCAGTCACTATCATCTCAGTAAACTGCCATCTACCCAATTTTTCATACCTAGAACTAGGAGTCATGTTTGATCTCTCTCTTTCGCTCCCTTCCCACATTCAACCCACCACCTAGTTAAAGTTGTCAAATTCAATGTTAAAACATTTTACTGAATCCCTCTATATACTACTTCCCATCCAGATATGCATCCCTAATCTAGACCCTGGACGTGGACACTGCAGTAGCCTCCTACTGTAGTCTTCAGTGGTTTCCTGTCTTCCACTCTTTGCTCCTTTAATCCATTCTTATGTAGCAGATGGATTGCTCTTTTCATCGGATCATGTTACATTCCTACTTTCAAGCCTTTCAATGGCTCCCTATCATATTTGAAATAAAATCTGAATTCCTTACATAGCCTGCAAGGGCCCTCCATGATTTGACCTCTGCCTATCTCTTTGACCTCATATCATCTCTCTCTTTCCTTTGCTTATTATTTCAACCACATTGGACTTCTCTCAATTCACTGAGCTCAACAAGTTCTTTTCTGCCTCAAGGCCATGGCACTTGGCATTCTCTCTCCCTGAAAGACTTTTTTCCCTAGATCTAAAGATAGGGCTGCCTCCTTTTTGGAATCAAGTCTCTACTCAGGTATCACCACCTCAGGCAGACTTCCCTGATCACTCTAATAGGATCCTATTCTAACTTATTGTCCTGTTTTAGTTTCTTCATAACACTTACAACTATCTGAAATGATAATACAGTGTATCATACACATACCTTCTTTGTGGTTATTGCTATTCAACACCCACTAAAATGTAAGCTCTATGAGAGCACTGACATCTTGTCATTCCTGTTTAGCAGTGTCTCCTCAGCTCCTAAAATAGTGCCAGGCATATGTAGGTAGGTATTCAATAAGTAATTGATGAATGAATGAATGGGAACAGGAAACTACCCAGTTATTGGTTCAGGCTTTGAATCCTCTTTGATCATGGAGATAATCATATATTGAAATGAATGGAAATGAACATTGTTTCTTTGAAAAATAAATGTACTGTACTCTTTTCCCAAGAAATCAAACTATATATTTTAAGCATAGTTTATTATTAAGGATTTGAAAATGGATGTGTCTCTATTATATATGTAGTTAATTTATAAAAAAGTAGAACTATGAAAACCTTAATATATATTATCATTAAAACATTTTTTAGTATCATAATTTATTAGAAAAGTTTTCATTGAGCATTTGACAACTTCCTTAAAATTTAAATCTGTTGATACTAAATTAACTACACTTTTCTCTTTTCTCAGGATATTATTGCTGGATTCCTGTATACCATTTTAATCTTAGCTGTCTTCTATCCATTTGTGGACCTGATTGACAACTTCAACCAAACTCACACATACGCTCCATTAGTAATCATTGGGCTTCATTTAGCCTTGGGGATTTTTTCTTTCACCCTTGACACCTGGAGTACATCCAGAGGAGACACAGCTGAGATTCTAGGAAGTGGTGCTGGCATTGCATGTGGATCTCATGTTTCTTATAACATGGGTCTAATATTAGATCCTTCTCTAGATTTACTGCCTTTAACTAGGCCCCCCATGACTGTGACTCTGTTTGGAAAAGCCATTTTGCGGATCCTCATAGGGATGACATTTATAATAATAGTCAGACATGTAATGAAAAAGATCACCATTCCCTTAGCCTGTAAAGTCTTCAGTATACCATGTGATGATGTTCGAAAAGCAAGGCAGCACATGGAAGTTGAACTTCCTTATCGGTATATTACCTATGGAATGGTTGGCTTCTCTATCACATGTTTGGCTCCTTACATATTTTTCTTTATCGGTATCTCTTGATTGAGAAATACTGTTTATGATAAGAAAGAAGGCTGTCAGTTACTGATATCTGAAATATATTCTAGGACAAAGCCAGATCAGAGTTAGGCTTTTTCAGGAATTTAGCTTAAATGATTATTTAAGTAAATTCATAAGAATTGTTGTGCATTTTATCATTGCACATCCAGATATTGTTTTAGCAGAGCTGAGCTATGTCAATACTGAAAAAAGTAAGTATCCATTTAGAATGTTCATGTAATGTTTGGGGAGTTTTAGTGCTGTTATGGACTCAAGATATATATAATATATATTAAGGTACATAATATGCATTATATATCTAATATATTTTATATATAAAATATACTTAAGTTTTTTTAAAACTGGGGGGTCTATTATAAAATCAGTAATAATATGCAAACAGTTGTGCCTGTGTATTTGGACTTAATACAGGTATATTGTTATTAACAGATATACTAAACATTTATTTACTGTGGGAGCCATTTCCTAACTGAATTCCAAAATTACTAAACCAGAATTCATATGCTACTACATATTAGTTTACTGTCTCTTTTTACACTGCCATCACCTTTCATGTTATCCATGATGTTGAACATGGGAGGCATTTTTAATGGACCAAATTTTCAGAAAAGTTAATTTTTGGATTCCTTAATTGTTTTCAGTTCTGTGTACTATGTTGAATGTATTTTATTTGCACCTGTTCTGGACAGTAGTTTAATAATTCAGGTACTGAATTTTATTGCTTGCTAATTGTGCCTTTCTGTTGCTAAATTGAGAAATGCCATGTATACTGTGATAAAATACAAACTTAACCTACATGTAATCAGGCAAATATTTTTAAAATATATTTCAAGCTAACAGGGATAGAAGTAAACAATCCTTAGCTATTTAATCTTTATTTAGAAATGTGGAATGGGCTAAACTTACTCACTAACTTATTGGAAAGTTAAATGGATAAATGTTTCCATTTTTGTAGATATTTTTCTGTGCGTTATAAGTTATAGGAACAAGATATATTTTTTGTACATTGTCTTGATTATTTCTACTGCAGGTAGCTATTTCCAGTGAGGAGAAATGTAATTGAAACTTACAGTTGGGACAATGCACGTTTCATATGTAAACAAACCATTTTCTAAATTATTTGGAAGGGATTGGATTCAGCAGTGTTAACTTTAATATCCACTTAGCAAATACTTAAAATTATAAAATCTACAAGTAAGTATCAGTATTTTAGATCTTACTATTTTTCAACTTTTTATTATTTTCACGGTGGAAAATTTGGATATAGTATTAAACTATTCATTATTCTGTCTGTGCCTTTATATTTTGAAGTGTGACTGTAATTAGGTTGACATTACGTTTATTTGTAGCAAGAAGAAAATTAACTTTCCATATAAATGAACATCAACTAGGGAATTCCTGATTTTAGTGCAATGTCTGTATGGTTATCCAGAAGTATCACTTAAGATGTTTCTATTTTGGGCAGCATAGCTATTTGAGCTCATATTTTTATAATTCTGATTGAGAATTTAGGGGCATGGTAATTTTTACCAGAACAGAATCTGATAATTTTAAGTAAAGCAACTAAATTTGGGCCCGTTACCTATTAGTCAAGAGGAAACTGAGGCACTTAGTAACATATAGGTACGTTGGAAAATGTGAAGAGATTTTTTTTCTTTTTTTTCAAAATCTGTTTAATGCATTGAGATTAGGGACTATTTTCCGTAAGTTGGGTCTGTATTATCCTATTAGTTTTATGTATAGCTTAAAAGGTATTTGAAAATATTCCATTTCTTGTGTTTTATTATTTTTCTCTTATGACAGTTTTGTGCTGAATGTATTTTAAAATAAAAGCCAAATTCAAGATTGAACGTTTTTTGTTTTGTTTTGTTTTGCCTTCTATACATCTGTCTTATGTTACCTGGTAGAAGTTTTGAAAATATCCTAGCATTTTCATTCTAGCAGACTTTTCCTCTGAAGCATTTTGTTCAGAATCAAAGCCCTGTTTTTAGCAGTGGAAGACAATTAAGAGACTTTCAATATCTGAGTCAACAACACTGAGTTTGTTTGCTGTTTTTGTTCAGGTTAAACTGATTTTTGGCTCTACTTAAGAACGTTTCCAACATTGTATTTTTAGTGAAGCAGTTCTTACTTCTAAGGAAAACTTATGTTTCAAAAGTGGTCTCAGTTAAATCTGTGGCTGGTGGTATTACAGGTAACCAGTTACCGTGGAGTCGATGCCTGCTCATGGGGACCCCATGTGTGTCACAGTCCAAGTATGCTCCAGAGGGTTTTCAGCGGCTGATTTTTGAGCAATAGATCATCAGGCCTTTCTTCCAAGGTGCCTCTGGGTGAACTCAAACCTCTAACCTTTCCATTAGCAACTGAGCACATTAACCATTTACACCCCTTAGATAGTTTATTATTTCATTTCTGTCACAAATTAATCATAAGAGTAGGAGCAAGTACTTTTTCAAGCAGAATAAAGACGTATGGACATTTCATTTTATAGTTTTGAAATTCCGTGATATATGAATAGTGAAAACTAGGTATGCCAGAAACTTAATTATAAGGCCTAATGTAACGCAGTGCTACTACAAGGTTGACATAATTATTTTTTTTTCCTCTTTGAGTTTATAAGTAACATTATTTGTGACTTTTGTTTGAAGTTGTTGTTGTTGTTGTTGTTATGTGCCGTCGAGTCAGCCCAGACCCATAGCGACCCCTCCTTGGGTTTCCGAGGCAGTGTCACTACGGAAGTAGGATTGCCCAACCTTCCTTCCGAGGAGTGGCTGGTGGGTTTGAACCGCCAGCCTTCTGGTTAGCAGTCAAGTGCTTTAGCCACTATGCTACCAGAGCTTGTTTGAAGAGGGCATAAAAATTAATTCAGTGGAATAAGAAGAATTTAAAGGCAGATTTTCACAAAACATTTGATAAAGATCAGTAAACACTAAAATATTTTTATTTTGAATATGTAACTACATTTACAGTTTTATTTGGCAAAAGATTTTTATTGCTGAAGCAATTTTATTCTTGCTATCAAGGTATATTTATTCTGGATTTTAGAACTAAAATATTTAACCTGGGCATCAATAAGGACCAGTTTTCAAACTTCAGCTTGACAACTGAATGAGTTTTTCTGAAGGGAGTTTTTGTTTGCTAGAGATTTTTTGAGAAGGAGGCAACAGTTTGTCATGGAACATAGTCGTTGAACAGTTACTGCGCTAGAATTTTATACTTGAGCTTTAATTATGGTTACATAAGTTAAGAATAAACCCCCCAAAACCAAAACCATTGCCACTGAGTCAATTCCAACTTATAGTGATCTACAGGTTACCAAGGCTGTAAATCTTTATGGAAACAGACTGCCTTGTCATTCTCCCAAGGTAGTGGCTAGTAAGTTTGAACCACTGACATTTTGGTTAGCAGCCCAATGCCATATCTGCAGCACCACCAAAACTCCTTAAGTTATAAATAGTGCTATAAAAATACAGTTTAATATACTAGTTATAAAGAATTTTACAAGACATTTTGGAAAGCTTGTCTCTGTATTTTTAAATAAAAATGTTTAAGGTAATAAACTTTGTTTTTAAACCTCAACTAGCTGGCTCTTATTAAAGTGAGTACTTCATTTTGGATCCTAATTAGTCCTCTGCCTACCTGCTTTCTCCTCCAAATAAGGAATTAATATCTGATAGTGGCAACCTATAAGCAGAATAAATGTGGTTTGTTATCTAGTAACTGTTACTGACTGTTCACTCTGAAAATTCTTAGTGTAAAAGCTCTCTTGTTTGTAAAAACAGACTCTTTCATTGCTCATCTTTAGTCTCAGTACATTTTCTATGAATGTCTATAAAGCCATGCCCTTGTCCTGCAAAAAAAAACAAAACAAACCACACTCACTGCCATCAAGTCAGTTCAACTCATAGCAACCTTGGGTTTCCAAGGCTGTGTCTCTACAGAAGTAGATTGCCCAACCTTTCTTCTGAGGAGGGTTTGAATCCCCAGCCTTCTGGTTAGCAGTCAAGTGCCTTAGGCACTAAGCCACCAGAGCTCCTCCTTGTCCTGAAAGCAACAGGATATAACAGAAAAAGAACATCTAATGTTGATTTTTTAAGATTTTATTTTTCTGTTGCTTTTTCCATTCCAAATGAATTGTAAAATTGCATTATAACTATTATCACATGCATCATGATGTCTGTCACATAATTCGGTTTATTTTCAAACGAGTGTCATTAAGTACATTATCTGAACATGTCATACATTATATATTTTACCTATTAGGCTTTTTATAATATTTGTTTGATGTAATACATATTTTCAGTTTCCTTTGTTAAATACTGACATTTTCTTATCAGATATAAAATTGATTCTTTTTTTTTAATCACCACAATAGTATCACCCATTCATGTTGTTGTTGTTATGTGCATCGAGTCAGACCCCACTCACAGCAACCCCTCCTTGGGTTTCCTAGGTGGTATGGAGCTCTGGTAGCATAGTGGCTAAGGCACTTGACTGCTAACCAGAAGGCTGGTGGTTCAAATCCACCAGCCACTCCTCGGAAGGAAGATGGGGCAATCTACTTCCATAGTGATACTGCCTCGGAAACCCAAGGAGGGGTCGCTGTGACTCGGGTCCGACTCGATGGCACATAACAACAACAACAACAACATGACTACGGAAGTAGATTACCCAGCCTTCTTTCCGAGGAGCGGCTGGTGGGTTTGAACTGCAAGCCTTCTGGTTAGCAGTCAAGTGCCTTAGGCACTGTGCCACCAGAGCTTTGAGGTTTATCCCTTGTACTAAATTGGGAGCTCTCTTACTTGAAGTCCATTATGGAACACATCACAATCTGTCATTTATGTATTACTTACTTTTTAATCTCTACACTGTAAGCTCCATAAGGGTAAGGAGTTTATGCATTTATTTATTTCCGAAACCTGGAACAATTAATATATGTTGAATGTGATAGTTAAGGTTGGGTGTCAGCTGGGCTGGGCTTAGTTTCGAGTGGCTGGACAGCTGGATATAGTGATTCCCAATGATAAGACTGATAATCAACTCCATGGTGGAATCTACTGTGAGCAGCTGAGTAGCTGCCTTAGGGATATGGTCTGATTCCAGCATATAAGAAGCAGCTTTGAGGAAGTTCTCTAGCTTTTTGGCACATCTGGATCGTGCATATGGCTGAATCTTTGTATCAGTAGCCTGCCATGTTTTCTGCAGATCTTGAACTAGTGGCCTGGCATGTTGCTTGATAATGTTGGGACTGTGCTATTTTACTTGTCAGCCTTAGGTTTGTCAGCCTCAGCAGCCAGCAGCTGCTTGAGTTAAAAGACATCTCCAGCCCCATTGGGAGCAAGAGTCAGAGCTGAAGCCCAAGTTTGAATGGCTTTCACCCAGCCCCTAGAGCTGGCACTTTGAACTCAGACTTCTAGCCTTCTAAACAGTAAGAGAATAAGAGAGATGGCTCTGTTCAAGCCATCCACCTGTAGTATTCTTGTTAGAGCAGCACTAGAGGACCAAAACATTAAATGTGCACATTAATTACTCAGTCCCTAGAAAGGCTTCAGAATATGCATTTTTTCTGGAGAGAAGTTTCAGGACTTTTACCAGATTCTTGGAGATTAACAGTTAAAAATTATTTAGTTGGCTACCTTTTTACTTCTTGTTTCATCTATCTTAAAAGTTTAAATTGTAAAAAAATGCTTCTAATTGTTCTGGTAAGAATTTTTGTCATTTTTTATGCAAATACTTAAGGGTTAATCTTTTTTTTTTTTTTTGTAATTTGGGTGAAACTTTACAGTGCAAATTCACTTTCCATACAGCAGCTCACATATACTTTTTCTCATGACGTTGACTGCAATTTCCCATAATGTAGCAGCTCACCT